ACTCATCTTCTTCTTTACTCCAATCTTCTTCAGGCTTCAGACTGATTGTCCCATCTCTTTCAGTTATGGTGGGATGAATCCATCCTTTGTTAGCAGCTCTCCAAGCCTTTTTGTCCAGAGATTTTAGGAAGGCAATCATACGAGGTTTCCAGTAGTCATAATTAGTTCCATCCAGAATGGGTGGTCTATTTCCAAAAACTCCTTCTTTGTCCATAGTGCCAGAAAGTGATATCCCTAGATCTCACCCAGTAATACATGCAGGGTGCCTGCTCTGATACCAATTGAAATTCTGGCTACAGATACTCAATGTCACGTCCAATGTTATGACACCGTATCTGACTTACTATATGACAGTAAATACAAAAGCAGTAAATAACACAGTCAATTGTTTACCCAGTTCAGTATGCAACAACACCTACTCTGGGGGCTACCAAGCCAGGGAGAGAATCCACTATAAGAGATGTTAATTCAGGAATAAACCAACCAGTTTATCTCCTTCACTTAAGACCTACCCAATGCAATTCTAATCTAAGTACAACTTAAACCTGAGTTCCTACTCACTCCCCCTCAATCACAGCAGTGATACATAAACCAATTTGACTTGAGAATTGATGAAGACACTCTTCAAAACACACACTTGATTAAGCTTCACAGCTTTTTAATCAAGTAACACAATCACTCGTGCTTCACAGCTTTGAGTGATGTACACAACTAACTTGACTCTGCTTCACAGCTTTAGTCAAGTAACATTCAAACACTCTTGCTTCAAAGCTTTGAGTGCTACACAACCCTTACAATTTAAGCCTATTCCAAGACACTTATCACAATGATAATTGCTTGGAGTACAATAAACAAATCTATACAGATTACAATCTTGATCTTCTAATCAATCAGCAGGGATAGCTTCAAAAACCGCAGCTCTGTTGAATATATAGCAGCTGCAACTTCAGTTAGGGTTTCCAAAAACCTAGGGTTGATTCCGTTTGACCTAAAGACCAGGTCAAAGTACTTTGTTGATCAGGTTAGGATTGAGCTAGGTTACTCCTCAGAAAACGCAGGATTCTGTTTAGGAAGGACTGAGTTATTTCCTGAAAAAACTCAGACTTATCCAATCCTGTAATCCTGCTAGTTCAGAACAGGATGTCATAACATCTGTTATGACATCTGAGAAAACCTGTCTACTGATTAGCAAAATGTGATCATTTTGCAAACATGCTCAGATACACACTTATAAACATCAGTATTTGAGTTACAATATTTTTCTGCACATGTACCTAAAGAGTTAGTACAACCTGAACTAGAATGTTATGACATCAGTCATGACATTCACACATACACTTGGAATTTACCAAAAATGCAAGCCAATACCTAAACACCTACAACTTAAATCTTAGTAATCATAAACTTCTTTGTGGGATCGAGTTTATTATATTACTTGACACTAACAGTTCACTTGCGGTGCACACACCATCAAGTTTTTGGTGTTGTTATCGAGGAAGTAATTGATATCAAAGATTTGCTTTAACACTGTTTAGACTAGGGTATTTTTTTTCTTTTTGTTATCATTTATTTTGTGTGAAAAACTCGTTCAACCAGAAATTTGGTTGGACCAGTTAACGAGATCGAGTGTTATTTACACGAAAGACACCGACTCAGAGCACTACAGATAATGGTTGTTGAGGTCGATACTAACTTCTTAAGGACTATGAAACTCCCACCAATGAGGAACCACATAAAAGTATTGTGCACCCGCCCATTGCGGCAAATAATTTTGAGCTTAAGCCTTCACTCATATGCATGGTTCAACAAAATCAATTTTTTGGGTTACCGACAGAAAATCTGAATTTACACATTTCCATGTTCATTGATAATTGTGATACCTTGAAGGAAAATGGTGTTGACCAAAACTCCATACGCCTTAGGATTTTTCCGTTCTCGCTTAGGGTTTGAGCTAGAACATGACTTCAGTCTCTCCCGACATATTCAATAACTTCTTGGGCTAAAATGAAAGTTGCCTTCTTGAGCGGTACTTCCCCCAGGTAAGGAGCGAGATCAACAATTTGAGATAAGAGGATAAAGAATCCCTCTTTGATGCTTGGGAACATTATAAAGATTTGCTAAGACTTTGTCTTTTTCATGGGCTCGATAAAATGGCTTATTATTCACACTTTCTATAATGGACTCTTCTACCCCCACGAGAATGACTTTAGATGCTATCGTCGGTGGCGCACTAATGAATAATCCACAGGACATTGCCTATAATCTTATTGAAGATATGGCAAAGAACCATCTTTCATGGGGTTCGTTCTGGGACAAGGGTGCAAAAACCCTTCAAAAGGGTGGGCTCAATGAGGTGAGTCAGTTCGATCATATGAGCACAAAGGTTGATGCGTTGTATTAGAAAACTGAGAATATGATAGTTACCCAAGCGACACCCACACTGGTGGATGTTGTAGCCTCTACCTTACCTGTGGGACCCTTCTGTGGGGTCTTCGGAATAAATGGACATTAAAGGTTAAGAAAAACACAAGAAAATGAAGGTTGAATTGGGTTTTCAAAAACTTTTGCTTAGAAATAATGTTCACACAAACAATCAAGATAGGCAAGCTAAGAAAGAAAAGTGACACAATCAGTTTATACAAGTTCACATTAAACAAGACTACTTTTGTCCACTCGCCAAGGTGGTTTCGCCTTCAAAAAGGACTTAATCTACTAATCTTGAAAGATTACAAACAAACGTATAAGAGTTAGAAAACACCTTAGCTCTCTCAAGTATACAGACTAACACTTAGTCACTTGAGGAAAAATGATTCTCAAAAGAATACAGTAGAAAGTGTTTACAATAATGCTTCTTGTTAAGCAAATGAAACAAGGTTTAAAAACAAATGTTTACACACAAATATGAGCAACAACTCTTTGTGTTTTTGAGTTTCTCTTGGATGAATATTTTCTACGTGAATATTTTGCATAGTAACTCTTATTTTCAATTGTTGTTCCAATCCATTGATTCTTTAATAAAATAGTTACCCCTTTATACATGCTTCAAAAAGTACAATGTTGGATAGTACACGCGTCACTTTCAGTGCCAACTTCCATAATGGTAGCATGAGATCGTGGGAGACAAATTCCTTTGGTCGTACAATGCGTTCTTCACCATAGTTGAATGGGTATTGTACTGTTGTAATATTTCTTCTATTGCAAGTTTCTTGATCTTATCTTCTAATGAGATACTTCTGATTTGAAGTAATGATTAGTCTAGAAGATATCATTGTCGCACTATAGCGAAAATGTAGCGGTACAAATTTGAGACCAAGTCATTAATTGACTTAACTCACACAATGAAGTCGCCACCGCACTTTACTGTTTCCAAAGGGAAATGGGAAAAAAGAGAATAAAACCGAAAATGAAATAAAGAGCAAGGTACGGGGGTCGGTTATATAAAGGGGAGGGATCAACACCCTAAACATCTACGGTACTCTGCAGGATCCACTTTGTTTCTTCTAATCAGAGAGTGTGTTATCTAAAGGCTTACTTGCTAAAGGGAATGGATGAATGAATATTTACAAAGAAATGTTTTTTATTATTGCGCTCGCCTTTGGTCGTGAGACCTAATGCCTACGTACTCCCTCGTGTAATGGGAAAGTCAGAGCACCGTAGTTCGGCTAAAAAAGAATAAAACTTGATGTGTTGATTGATTTTAAATGAAGAGACAAGTCGTTATTTTTAGGAGATAAATCTCAACTAATCGCCCACAAGGTGTGAGAAAGATGGACCGTGCGTCAACATGACGAGAGTTTGGAAACGCCTATGGCACTCAAGTGGAAAAGTCGACACCTTTATAACCATGGGAATAGGAGAATGATATCTCGACTATAAATGAGTTATTTCTAATCTTGAAAAAGATTTTAAAGGGAAAAAGTGCACGAGGGCACAAAAAGATTTGAATAAGTTGAAGTATTTTGTTAGCTTGAAAAAAGATTTGTAAATTGAATCGTAATAAAGTCCGGAAATAGAAAATAACAAGGTCTTGAATGCACCGTCTCATTCTCCTCCATAAGACTCAAATGCATATGATTCACATCTTTATTTGTTAAGTATTTTGAGTTTTGATTAAGAAAAAGAAAAAGTTTGAAAAAAAGGTCGCTTGACAAAGTCAAAGTTTATTATGAAAGTAGTTAAAGTTTGAAAAATAAGATGGTTTTGAAAAAAGATGAGAAAATTTTGAAAATTGAATAATGGAAGAAGATGAAGAGAATATCCTATATACAAGAAAGTAAAAGAATAAGTAAGGAAGGTCTGGAGAAACAAGATATTGATACTTAGCATAAAGAAGTTAATATAGCGTTCTCATCCCTTTGGATTAAAGCCACAAGCAGAGAATAAATCAATAGTGTATCAGTCATCAGGTGAAAATAAATCACGAGTAGAAAACGTAACACGTGAAAATAAATCACAAGCGGGAAAAACGCAGATAAATCCAAGGTGTCAGACAAGCACAATAGTTAATATAAAACTCAAAGCAACATATAAGGACTCCAAGTATCAAATAAGAATCTCTGCATCAAATGAAATTCACAGACAAAATCAAACACACGAAGAAACTACTTAAGGTCTCATATAAAATAAGAAGTTAGATTCAAATAGTCAAAATCATATATCTAAGTTCAAATCAAAGAAATCACAAATACGCAAGAATGCACATGAAAACGGTAAATAATTCAAGCGAGATTAAATTCTAACTAAAAAAGAAAAGATTAAAAGAAAAAAAATATTTTTGATATTTTAAATATTAAATAAAAACCTAAACGTATTTCTAAATGAATATTTTTGGTCATTTTATATGAAAACAAGTTCTAGAAAGAAAGTATTTAACTAAGGCAATTAATAAAAAATTAACTTAAATATATGTACATGAGTTGAAATTATTTACAACCAAGATCTAAACACATATCTATAAAAACAATAAAAAAAAAAAGGTTAATTCTAAATTTAGAATCTGATTATTTATTATCTAAATCACATATAGAAAATAAAAGAGAAAGAAAGTTGAGATTGACGGAGCGTGTCCGGTTGAATGGATGTTGTTGTGGGCGGTGGAAGTTGGCTAGTTGTGTTCGGAAAACAGAGGGAGTATGCTCCAGTTTTGACAGAGGTTGAAGTAGCTGTGGGTTGTTGGTGTTGTTGTCGGTATTATTGAGTGGGTGAAGGAGGACGTATGGTGTTTGGTGAGGAAGACGGAGGGATAAGCGCAAGCTGGGTGAGAGGAAATGGAAAGCAGGTTGGGTTGAGGAAATGAAGAGGAATTCTTTTCTGAGTTGTGTCAATTTCAATCTGATCCCCCCTCTATTTCATTATCTCATCTCAACTTAAATACACACAAATAAGGTTTTTGTATTTTTTCCAATGCCCAAAACAATCTTTTGGATAAGATCAAGCTAAAAACTTAAAACAACAAAAATAAATACTCAAAATTATTTTAATTTTAATTTTTCTGAATATAAAATGATATTTAAAATAATCAAAAACGATAAAATACGAATATTAAATTAACTGGAAAAAAAATGAATAAATTAAAATAAACTACATGTTCTAAAGATTAATAATTTTTTTAAATGGTCAAAACTCGAAATAAAATGAGAATAAAAATATCAGGTTAAACAAACGCTGACGATTAAAAAAGAGACTGCAAATTGCACTGTAAAATAAAGCAAGAATACCGACATGATCTACGCGTAACGCAGATTCATAAAACAGTCAGATAAAGGTGAAAGTTTGAAATATTTTCTCTCTAATTTTTTCGCACATTGTCGAATCGCTTTTAAAAGTCTGTCTGTAGAACCGAAATATCAATATCATCAACGTATAAACAATTTAATGCAATGCATGAAGCGGACAACGAGATAAAATTGTATGAAGTGAAATAACATATATTTTTCAACTATAAAACGATACAAATATCGATTTAAAATGACTTTTGTTCAACTCAAATACGACTTATGATGCAAAATGTGATTAATGAATATGTTTATTGATGGTTGTGACCAAATAACAAAATACGATATGATAATGCGACTAAAAAATTTAGGGATAAAATTTGGAGTGCAACAATCACGTTCTTGTTCTTGTCTTCTGATGGATTACTTCTGATGTGAAGAGATGATTAGTTTAGAAGACATCACGTTGTAAGAGTATTCTATGAGTATCAGAGTCTTTAGAGTCATAACCTTGTCTTCAAAGCTGGAAGCAAAAGCTTATATGAGAAATAAATCTTGACTTTTGAGCTAGAAGCAAAAACTTATCTGATAAACACACATAAATCTTTTTCTAGAAACATTTGTGACTTCAGAACTAGAAGCAAAAGCTTATCTGAGAAGTACACAAAAATTCTTTTTTGGAGACATTCAACATTCATCGAAACTGCTAATGTTTCTTTAGAAACAGATGCAATAGTTCTTCTAAGGCGTGCCATCAATGATTCTAATGATCTTTCCAGATAATTATCCATAATCAAATAAAATATTACATCTTCACACTCAAGAAACTATTAGAGTACACAAATTTTCATATAAAATATATGCATTGTTATCATTAAAACTAAATATTATACGTAGAACCAAATCTTGTTCTAATTCCACATGCAAGATAGAGAATAAAAGCAAGTGTAAAATAAAAACACTTTCATTGATGATAGAGAAGAGTACAAACAAGACACAGAAAAAATAGAAAACATTAAGACCACAAACATCTAAACAACTTATGCTCCAAAGACTTCACATGTTTCCCCTTCAAGAGCGCTTTCCAGTCCAACCAACGGAACGAACCATATCATTTAAGCCTTATAGAAAATTTCTGACATAACTCTTCCAAAAAGTATGAAGCACTTTGTTTTCTTCTAAAGACAACAACAAACTCCTTCAGATAATTGAAGATGGTTTGGGGGAAGTTGACCTTAACATTAGAGAGCACAAAATAGATGAAGATTCTATCATCGTGAGACAAAAGGTTCAAACTTTTTCCTCGTGGTCGAAAGTTGGTTAGAAGAAGATGAAACCAGACTTTAGCAAAGGGAATAAGCTTTGCTGGATTAGTGGGCTCATATCTAGAGGAGGACACATCATGGATAGAAATGAGATTCTCCATGAAGGTATACTTGAGACTGAACTGGTCCACAATGATACCACCAGTTCTAACACAACCTATAACCTCATCAATGGAGGTAGGAGTGATGACAATGGGAAATCCAAAGACATTGGAACAAATTGATTTACCATGATCGCTCATAGAAACATACTTCCAAAAGGCTTTGACCAGATTAGGATAAATGGGTCCGTGCAACATTGCAAAGTACTTGGACCATCCTTGAGTTTGTATACTTAAAGACATATTGAACCTGTAGCTCTTAGGCTGGAAAAGTTTGGACGAACTTCATGAATGACTTCTAAAATTATGGTATAACAGACTTCAGATGTCCTATGACATGTTGAGATATCTAAATCTGAACAAACAACATAGGCAAGATATAAACATACGAAGTAGTACTAAAAAGCATAAACAACACACAAGAATTGTTAACCCAATTCAAAACAACCTTCCTACTCTGGGGACTACCAAGTCAGGGATAAAGTCCACTATAATAGTATCAATTCGAAGCTAAACTCCCCAGTTTACAACTTCTCACATAATCACTACATGTGCTAACTTATATCTAAGACTCACCTAGATATGAGGTCCTCCTCAATCTCTCATCAATCACAGACAACGATTGGACAAAAATAGGAAGACACACTTCCATGACAACAAAACTATAAGACACACTTCCATGACAATACCTAGAAAAGACTCTTGACTAAGAACACAATTGGAGTTGCTTACAAGTTTCCTCTAAGAACAATACACACTCTTGCTTCAAAGATTCAAGGAGAACAATAATAGAGACATTACAACTCTATAACATAATCCAACTCACATGTCGAGTGGAACACACAACTAACTCTCCTAAAGAGTGATACAGACTCAGCCCCAATGACTATATCGTTATATTTACGACTGGTGCTTCTCTTGGGTTACAAATACTTCTATTTATAACCTATCTCCCAACTGGATTTGGGCTTCATATCATAGAATATCAGCTGCTATAAATCAGCAGAAACTTCTGCTACAAAATAAGTCTTCAATCATATCCTTCCTAAATTATCTCCATAATTAGAAAGTCAATATTCTTCTTGATTCTTCCAGACCTATAAAATAGTGCCACATAGGATAATATAATTTCCCTTAAATATATAATGTCTTTCTGACTTAACATAATATAAAAATCCAGCTGAACAGCTTAGCAGATGCGCGATGTCGAATGATCCTGCATAGGACATCTGATCCGACATATTGCTCTAGATGATGAGAACTTCTCATCTCAACATGTCTCAACATAAAACAGGACTTCTTGCTCAACCTATTCTTCTTAGAAAGATAATACATCATATTTAACATATTGTTGCTATATTTGTTTTACTAAAATTAATGCCAATCCTAAAAATAGAGAACTAACAATCTCCTCCGTTTGGAAAATTTTGGCTAAAACAAATAAACATATTACAATTTAGATTACAACAATAAAAACAACAATAAACATCAGTAGTATTCAGTAACTAACTAACATCAGCAGTCTTTAGTAACTACTAAATTATAGCAAGTGGTTCAGTCTGATTAATGTCAGAACATCTTGTTCGACATCTTCTTCACAACATCTCTAAACATTTCCATTTCAGCTCAACAACCTTTTCTTTATATCAAAACTGCTCATATCTCCTCTCCATGTTCAGCCAAACCAATCCATTACTTCCCATAAACATTTCTCACCGACTGAATACACTCCGTCTTAACCCCAGAATACCTTCAATTCGGGTAACTCATAACACAAGTCACAATTGTGTTCATAACTCACATAGAACATAACATTCTCTTTGACATTCTTGTGAAACTGGTTCAAATACAAAGTTCAGACTCAATAGATGAACAACACTTCTGACTCAATAACTGAACAACACTTTAGACTCAATAGCTGAACAACCCTTCTCTCCCCCTTTTTGGCCAAAAATTGACAAACTCTGCCCTCACATCTAGACACGAGCCATGAGAATAAAGAAGGAGTAACCTCCACAAGATGAAATAAGTGAAGAAAACGACTTCTTTAAATTGGCAAACAATTCTCTTAGGAATTAATGGTCTTGGTCAATGGGGATGTTATTTGAAAGAGATCTCCAAAAAAAAACGCACAGTCCAAGACAAATTTTGACTGTCCTCACAATTCCAATAAATGCCCATGCAGAAATACAAACCATGTTTTACACATCCTCTTGATAACACCGTCCATAAAACTTCATTGTTTGTCTCAAGGAGAAAACATGTCCTAAAAATCTTCTGACATCCAATCAGACATTGTCTACTTTTTAAAGAACTTGACCAACACTTATTTAATCTTTCCAGTTAAGGATTCAAAATATCAAGACCCAAAACATCACAAGAGTGACATCCCCATTCATCAACAACCTTCAAAGAGTCCTTCCAAAATCAGAAGCACATAATCTTCACAAGCTTGAAACACATGCAAGCTTCACAATATCTGCACCATAGCAGCAAAATCCCATAAATAAGTACTAACTCCCCCTGTCATGGATAATCAATGCTCTTTCTGAACATAACCACTTCAACACTAGATGAAAAACACATGAAGATTCTCGCATGCTCATAATGAAGGACCACGACTTCACATATTTGCTGAACATATTCACACCCTTGTGAAAACACACCAGAACCTCTATCTCCAAGCCTTCTGACTTCTCCATCTTAACAAGGACATGAATGAACAATGTCCTCTCAGATCCACATAGTATCATGACCTTCAAGATGTCATGCATACTTGTTTTGACATTACTCACATGTAAAAAATACATAGTTTCCTTGCTTCACAAGAATTTAATTTTCCACAAATTCTCAGTTTGCTTAAAAGCATTATTGAGATCCAGTCACACCCAATGTTTTGTAGAGTAAACTACAGTAGAAGAAAACATCTCCTCAAAACATCCCGATCAAATCACAATATCTGACAACATCCTTCTGCCCTTACATCCACTAGTAATTATTGATACTAGTGGAGTCTTGAATATAGTAGCCATATGTTCATCAAGCATACTACTGCAGACATGATTAGAATCTGCACATTCTGATTCCCATAGTCATAACTACCACTTCTAATAATAATGCTTGAGCATCCAACTCCATATGCCAAAACCCAAGTGTGATACGATGATAGAACCGACTGTTTAATACTGGTTTTGCATTT